GGATCTTGTTCAGATGGTTTGAGTACCATTGTGTTCCAGTAGCGAGAGCGATGGGAAACATCCATAGGGGAATCATAGCCGGGAAGATGAACGGGCAAATACCAGCTGATGACTCCCAACGGAATACGCCATGAGTATGTATCCATATCACGCGAAACACTAAAGGATATCTGGATGTCATTACGATGGATGAAGAGAAATTCATAAACAAACAACATTGAATAACGCCCCACTTTGGAAGAGTTTCTCCGAGCATAAGTGAGGGCACAGAGCAGACGTGCTCGACAACCTCAGCAAATAAACATTAAAAAGTTAAAAAAAACAATTTCCAGATCAATTTTGATCGGATATCAACTAGGAACATTCAATTCATAAGCCCTTGACTAGCTGATACGAGATTTTTGATACATTTATCTCACAGTGACCAGTGTTCCTCTGAATTAACCTCTTTCCCAGAGTGTGAAAGAAATTACATTAGTAAAACAATTGAATACTGCGCAAAACATTGACCCCAGCGAGGATCGAACTCGCGTTTCACTACTCACGGCGGCGCTCCTGGTATACGTAAAACATGGGTTCAACTCCCGCTTAGGATCGAATGTTTTGCATACCACTCAGCCTTCTTAGTACATCTATAACATCACAGTAAAGCTAAAAAGCAGTAAAAGTAAACAGCTTAAACCTTTATCTGAATTCAAAAATCAATCCTATATGTAGAAACGTCCGCCCCTTGTTCTTCCCCATATTTACTTGATGGAGAAAACTGTATAACTAGCTTAAACCTGAAAAGTGTTCTATTTGAACACAGGGTCATCCACCTGTTTTGACACTGAATTACTTGAGTGAGATACAATAAGGATACAACATGTCAATGCGACCATCCTCACACTCCGAAAATGATGAGACAGTTCGATATCGACCACTAGGGAAACTAACTAGGCATTCACTTCTCTTTATCTCAGTTTATAAGCAGACGTACAAATATCTATTGACGAATTTCGACTATACCTGAAGGCCTCTGCTGACATCACCCTCTGCGTCAGGCAACGTCTTCCCTTGTTCCTTTGTGATGTTATCAGCATTTTTTTCATGTCACGTTTGATCAAAGATTGTAGACGGAAAAACGCTTGTTGCCGTGTTAACGGAGAGCTAAAAAAGAAGGAAATGAATGTAGTAAATCACCAAACGACCGAAAAAGAACCTAACAACGTACACGCTTTTCCAGGAATCGAACGCCTTTTTACAGGAATCGACGGCAGTCTGCATTTCGGCCTGTGTACACTTGGGAACGCGAGAAATGACCTCGTTTGTTGCCTAAGTCCACTAATTGACAAACACTCAATCTCACCTTAGAAATTGAGGAAAAATGAGGAAACGTACAGGATTTGTCAGGTCAATCCACTCGCTGGTTTTCGATTCAACTGGTCGACCATCTATCCACATCTTTACCGTGCTTTCACCATACGCCGATGTCGTTGTTGAGAGAGATACATATTGCTGACCGCAACGAACCTAGAAGTGAAATCTCAATATTTCTCTATTGCTTTATTTATACTGCTTCATAGCAGTGGTATGATGCCACAAATATACGTCTAAGAGCATTGATTAGTATGAGACATTCGACATTAGCTGAAGTTGACCCGCGTTTCATCCATACCGAGTGCCTGCTACCACTGCACCATCGATGTCGCCGCTCCGCTACCACTCTTTCTTTGATATAAACTATCGTAGCTGTCAGCAACCAACCTTTAAAGGGTTTGGTCTGGTAAGCACATATCGGCATCAAACTCGGTAACGCTACCGCCTCTTGGATATGGATATTATGCTAGACTTATTAGCAGAGCGGAAGCGTCGGTGGTGCAGTGGTAACAGACATTCTTGGTATGAATGAAACGCGGGTTTAACTCTCCCTATTGTCGAATGTTTTGCACACCGCTCAACACTCTTAAATGTGTATTTGCAGTACACAGAAGTTTCTTAAAGCGCTTTTTCAACGCAAATATAGCACTACTGAGCAAACACTACTACCTATTTAGCCTCAACAGCTGAAGAATACATCTGAAAAACGATTCAGACACTTGATTAATCTGTGCTCACTTCCCGTACGTCTAGCATTCGATTCCTTTTTTAGTCTTATTCTTCTTGAACGTCGTAGAATACTGAATGAGCGAGTCTCCTTGCAATTCGAGGGTAGCTGGCTGTGGTGTTCCATAAAGCGCTGTTGTTGACTGCCGGACAGGGCTTGGTGGGGCAGGGGGCTCGGCTCCACGCCGCCGCGACGATCATCATCAACCACTCGGCCACGGCGCTCCCAAAAAACATGAAGAACAATTTAACAGTTCGTAATACCGGTGTCGGTCACTGAATGTACCATTGAGACATGAAACTTTTCAAGATCGTGTTTTGATCTTTTGCAAAAGATAGGGTGCTCTCAAAGCAAATGCACCAGTAGTTGGATACTCGGACAGTCTGTCTTCATGAACTGTGCCAACCCAGCACATGGAATGTGAATAACTTAGTCGCTTTTTCCCCGAGACTCGAGGTAAATATAGCCCGCGCTTCCTCAGGTAGTTACCAAAAGAGCAGTCGCCGGTCGTTCCCGGTACGGCTTACCCTTAGCTGGGATTACCCAAGCGTCGCACTCCTTTTCAGTCTTGGGTAGCCTTGCTGGGGGAGTTGAATCCCCGCTGTACTTCGCAGTCCGACACCCAAGAACACCTCTTAGCTACAATGAGGCGATAATCCATTTGGGAGGAAAGAGAGCATTTGGCAAGACAAAACGACAATGATCTATTCACGACTGAAGCTACGTCGCTAAACTCGAATAGCTATCTACTAAAACAACTGTAACGAAAGACGTTTTATTTTCCTTATGACGTCGTCTTTTGTCACCCTATCACCTGTGCAATCCGACGACTGACACATTCCTCTTGTTGATATTGTTCGGCTGAGTCTAGAAAACCTAACTGTAACTGGCATTTCTAACGGAATTCCTGAACTTTGAAACTCCATGGAAAAACCAGAGCGGCTTCTGGTGGAAGGACTCGCCCTGGGTATGGCACACAATCGGCTGAAACATAGAGACAAAAGTTCAGCAGGAAAAAACTTCACATACTATTCTTCAGTTTTCTTATCGAAGTGTCAACGTGATCCTTTGCGGACGGCAGCTTATCTGACCTTCGCAAGCGGCGCGACTTCGGTTATTTAATAAGGAATTTTTTGCTTCATTTTGGGAAAATCTTTAGGTTTTTTGCACTATTCTGGTACTACATAATTTCCTCTACAAGCTCATATAATTTCCATGCATTATAACTCTTACGGGCGAAGAAAACCCAAGTGTGAAACGTAATCTTCTTCTCGCTCCTACAGCGCATTTGAAGGCCTTCTCAAAAACTAAGCATTGCCTGATAATGACATAACATGTATTGAGCCGTTTGTGAGGTCTGATAAGTGCTAGACAGGCGCTTGTTTCGTCCTTCAGGACTCTTCAATAGCACAGCCCCTTTCTGATAGAATTCCCTGGTATGATTCATTTTAGTAACCACAAGCTCGACTGCTGGTCTCTGCAATATCAGGAGATTCTATCACCTGACTTGCAGTGATAAACTCGCGTCGAATCCTTCGCAGAGAAGTATATGCCTAGATTCTTTTTATTTTGACTGCCACTTGCAGTGGTGTGGTGTTATTAGTATACCCAATATGTGGAGTGCTGTGCAAAAACGTTTGCGTCAGCCGGGATTTGAACGCAGATCTCACTCTTTTCCGGGAGCGTATGCTAATGCGTCGGTAGTGCAACGGTTAGCATACGCTCCCGGAAAGAGTGAGATCTGGTTGGAATCCCGGCTGACGCAGTTTTTGCACAGCACTCCACATAGAGGAGCACAGCCTCAAGGGATTGGCTGAACAGAGGGACTGTGTTACTGGAGAAGTCCCGCCAGAATGAAACAGGCACCTGTATGGCATTTAGACCTTAATGGCTTAGAACATGTTATATCATTACCACACTATCATTCTTTTTGAGCAAGGTCTACAAAAAAGCGGTGGAATGGAGAGGCATGATTCTTTTTAGCAAGCAAGCATTGTGCTAAGATGGTCGAAGATCAAACTTTCGCATAGTTATTTCCGTTCTTATAAAAGTCTCTGCTCACCGAAAGAGACCTCTGGAAATTTTGGGGTCAAAAATGACACTCACTAGCTGCAAAGATCAAACCAAATTATTAAATAATCAAATTAAAATCGAATAAATACATACCGAGAGCCTCTTCAGACCAGAAAGCATTGTTCTTGTGATGTTGATAGCGCTGTAATAGTACTGGTTAGTAAATTTTTTCTTTTGGAAAGAAACTGTTCGCTCCACAAACGAATGATTCGTTCAATTCGATAGAATGTGGACGGAAAATAGACTCGCAAGCGATATAGGGCTGATGGCACCAAAAAACCAACAAATAGACAACAATAAACAAACAAGTGGTCGGTGAGGCAAAAAGAGGCGGATTTGAGGGTTCGGAAGGCTGAATCCGCTAAAGACATTGGCCCCTCTAAGAACCTGAATGGCCCTTGGATGGCCTGAAAAAGAGCCCTATCTGTCAAAACTAGTCGAGATCTGTGAACATTGACCATTACACTGTATCATTTATCCAAAAATTATATATTCAGTGATATAGAGTGATTTAGAGCGCATGTGGCGCAGTGGTTAGAGGTGCTCTGCGTCGCACACGGAGGTCAATGGTTCGATGTGGCGCTCATGGCTCACCAAGCCATCCATCCCTCCGGGGTCGGTAAATTGGTACCAGACAGGTCTCATACTTGTCTGGGAGGATAAGCAGCACTGACTCGGTTCAGCGGGAGGCCACCGCGAGTCATTGTAAAGGCCAGATGTGCATTCAATCACCTCAAACGCAGTAAAAATTGAAGTCGAATGCATTGCGCATCCCTCAGGTGATTGATCAACGCCGAGAGCTTTATCCTTTTTTTCCTCTATAGAGTGGTGTACAAAACTTTTACGTCAAACGGGACTCGAACCCGCTACTCACTCCATCCAGGAGTGCGTGCTCTAAACCATTGCACTTGACGCTCGTTTTGTCACCACTCTTTCTACGCTACTGATAGATACGCGTTGTAGCGTAGAAAGAGTGGTGGGCAAAATGAGCGTCAATAGTGCAATGGTTTAGAGCACGCGCTTCGGGATAGAGTGAGTTGCGGGTTCGAGTCCAGCCTGACTCAGAAGTTTTGCACATCTTTCTCCATCATACCACTGTTAAAAGCGATCAAATAAAAAGAATGTAATTCTGATTTAACTGACCAGAAACGATTTTCAAGTAAAAATTAATGGTACCATACAAGTTCGAATTGGTCTTGTTGGCCAGAAGAACACTAATGAAAAACAAGAAAACCTTAGAAAAAAGTCTTATTTTCACAGTGTCATGAAGTTTCGATTGTACCCAAGAGAATTGAATGGTAAGCAAAAATTCGACCTCGGGCGAAAGATGAACCCGCGTTTTCACCCATACCAGGGACGTGGGCTACGGGAGAAACGCGGGTTGAACTCCCGCCTGAGGCCGGATTTTTGCTCACCATTCAATTCTCTTGGATACATAGAAAAAAAACTATTGGCTCAATCAACTAAGAAAATATGACTGGATTTGTAAGTCCATGTAAAATATGTTGTCCTATAGACGTTCGTTGACACCTAGGGATCGATCAAAGAATCGAAACATATAAAGACGAACCGCAACGCAGGAGTACCCACTCCAATGAGCGTGGATCGAGGCGATAACACTGCCATTCGTTCGACCAAAAAAACAGAAAGAAAGAAAGAAAGAAAGAGAGAGAGAGAGAGTGAGTGAGAGAGAAAGGAAAGAAAAGGAAAGGAAAGAAATGAAATGAAAAGGGAAATAAAAGAAAATCGAAGGAAGGAAAGGAAAGGAAGAGAAAAGAAAAGAAACGAGGAAAAGAGGGAGAAACAGAGCATCTTTTCGAAAAGAAAATGAAATTTCCGTCATTCTGTGCTCTTCGACTTCACTGTCGAACATCGCCACGCATAGACGATGATTTGGAAAAGTAGAGCGAGTAACTGATGAAGAGATCCGTCCCGCTTCATCGAGTCCAACGGACCCATGAGGAGATCAAGAAATGATACTATTAAGGATAAAGGATAAAGCTCTCGGCGTTGGTCAATCCCTGAGGGATGCGCCATGCATTCGACTTCAATTTTTAACTTCGTTTGAGGTGATTGAATGCACATCTGGCCTTTACAATGACTCGCGGTGGCCTCCCGCTGAACCGAATCAGTGCTGCTTATCCTCCCAGACAAGTCTCAGACCTGTCTGGTACCATTTTAGCGACCCGGAGGGATGGATGGCTTGGTGAGCCATGAGCGCGAGATCGAACCAGTGACCTCGAGTGCGACGCAGGGCACCTCTAACCACTGCGCCACATGCGCTCGTATTACTACTATAATCAATAAATTACTATTATATTACTATTATATTACATTACATTACGTATTATTATTATTATCAATACATTCTACTTTACTGGCCTCGGAACGCGCTGGATATCCAGAAAGAAATACTGGAAGCAGAGTGACTCTCTGAGCAAGTCATATGGTGGCGCAGTGGCCAGTGGTGTCGTGTGACGAACACGTGGTCAATCACACGATCCAGAACCGCCGATCCAACGCACTTAGAACCTTTTGTTCGAGTGTTTACTCAAAACAACGCTCAGATTTCAATATGCATGACAACTACTTATTGAGCCATGCATGTGGTCTGTTATGGACAAACTTATACAGCTCAATACACGTGTTTCGGCCTTGGCAGCCTCGTCAGTTGGACAGTGCCCTTCGTCTTAGTCAATCTCTCGGGGGAACCAACCCTCCTTTCTCCCTCTCCCCCTACTTACGTAGCGAAGGTGCAGACGTAGTTCTGACATGTGCCATTAAGTGAAAATATCACTGAATGGGCAGCGCTGTACATCCGACTGCCCTTGGCTGTGTTACATGAATGGCTCGAAAAATAACTATCAGGCACTTAGAAGCTTTTCAGAGTGCTTTTTCAACAGCCAAATATAGGGCAATGATAGAGCGTTAGTAGGAAAACACCTACTTTCCTTGAAGAGGGGCTTATCGTGGTGGTTGAGAGTTGCTCTGCAAGACACGTGGCTGTGCGATCAATCGATGCTTAATGGTTCGATCCAGCGCAACCAAAGCTCACCATGCAGTAAACTCTCCGCACTCAGCCAATTGGCACTAGAGTTTTCTGGAAGGAGATAGCAGCACTGACCCGATACATTGGCGGGTCACCGCAAGTTATTGATGAGGCCAGATTGCATTCCTATGCTTCCATCCTGTGCCTTGCTTGGTAACCCCAAGATCACGTGGGAATACATTTGGGAAGACAATTCGACATTTTACTGCCCGATAAAAAAAGGATAAAAGGACAGAGCTCTTGGCGTTGATAAATCCCCGAGGGATGCGCCATGCTCTTCATTTTTTTTTTTGAATTCGTTTGACGTCATTGAAAGCATATCTGGCACTCTCGCGGTATCCTCCCGCAGTACCGAGTCAGTGCTGCTTATCTTCCTAGACAAGTCGGGTACCAATTCACCGAGCCCTCAAGGATAGATGGCTTGGTGAGCCATGTGTGCGAGGTCGAACCATCGACCTTCTGTGTGATACAGACCACCGCTAATCACTGCGCCCAGGCGCACATCACTACCCGATATCGGCGGGTTTGATGGTAACAAGCAGACCAGCCTTTGGTCATATCGATTGCTTATCAATCTAAAATTAATGTGATTGCTCCCACGGTTGAGATAATTCACTCGGCACGTCAGAAAAGACGGTCGGCTTATAATCACAGATATCTACAGGGTACGTCCTTCGCCCTCTCTGACACTGAATTCGCACATCAATCGAGTCATCGATCGGAACAATAGCGACCAAAGGCCTCTTTTTTCTCAGAGTGTACTCTCTTGTCGTCACCCTATCACTGTGTATGTGTAATCCGATAATTTCAACATTCCACTTGATATTCCTGTCCGGGATCGCATCTGGCGCAATGGTTAGAAGGGCTCTCTCGCACATTAAATCGATGGTTCGATCTCGCGCTCATAGCTCACCAAGCCATCCATCCGTCCGATGTTGGTAAATCGGTACCGGACTGGTCTCACATTTGTCTGGGAGGATAAGCAGCGCTGACTCGATACAGCGGGAGGCCACGGGGAGTCATTATTAAGGCCAGATATGCGTTCAATTAACCTCAGACGAATTTGAAGATTGAAGACGATTATATGGCACACCCTTTAGGAATTAATTAACGCCAAGAGCTTTATCCTTCCTATTCCTGTTAGAAGGGTGTGAAAAACGTAAGTAAAACTGCCACATACAACGAAAATTGTAGAGAATTGGAAAACTCCGTACCTAAAAATTCTTCCACCCTTCCTGTTTCCGTCGACGTGCCGACGTATGGACATGAGAGAAACAAATTAAACACTACCTTCGAAGAAAAAAACTTGTTTAATGAAAATAATCGATTTCAATTGTGCCAAATTTAGAACCGTTGTGATTGTTTGCTTTATATCTTAGGAAATTCCCTTGACTTCATATCAAACGATGCTGAGTATCATGCAGAGCTTTAAAGTCCAGTTGAGAGTTGAACTTGTGCTTCACCCATACGAAGGACGTATGCTACTACTGCATCATAAACGTATGAATTGTCTCGCAGTTTTTACCGAATTTTGCCATCTTTATTGAATCAATTGTTAGTTATCCCGAGCAAAATTCTTCAACAACAAAATCAAGATTGTATTATAATTATATACGACCGCTTTTTAGGCACTGACTGAATGCCTTCTTCATAAAAAGAACGAAACGGCAATAAAAGAAAGTGGTAAGGTTGTTTTCGAGGTTATTGTAGCCTTCAAGTCTTTTTTCCTTTAGATAATGCTTCAGAGTGCGTCCACTTTCTACAAAATGCGCGGTACCGACATTGTAGTGTGTGGTGGGCGCTCCATCACTTTGCCGTAGCTCATTTCATTCAAATGGCAAGCGACACTGTTACGTCTGTATCAAAGTGTCTAGCTAAGCTACTAGATCGTTGTCCAAGAATACAACCTTTGGCAGTAGCACGATTTTAAATGAAAACAGATTGAAGCAGTAATTCCAAAACAATATTGAGAAGGAGATTTTAGAAAGGTCATCAGTAGCACCCAATAGGGCGAAACAGCTACCTATGTTGCACTAAACCTAATAGCTCAAAACGTGTTATATTTTTATCAGATTATACCATTTTGAGCGGGTTTATAAAAAGCGGTCGATAGAAGAAGAATTAGGAAAACTGTTTTTACGCTCATGCAACCGCCGTCTTTGTCGCTAAGAAAGAGCATGTTTCAAACAGCCGCAATGTGTGTACCGGAAAAGAGCAGAGAGTAGAATCCGTGGAACTGGCTTGGAAAATAGCCATTTCTAATAGATACGGATTTTCAACTCTTCGGGTTAGGTTTCGAGAAAACAACACACCTCCGAACGAAATTTCGAATGAAGGGAGAATCTCATTCATTCTCTCGTTTTTTCAAATGAGACAAGTACAGCTATAAAACGTTGTTTAGAAAGAGCAGGTTCAGAGCAATCGGTAATTGTCACTGAAATACTACCAAGTATTCTAAGACGCCAGTTAGTTCTTAACAGCTAATACGACCGTTTCCGTATAATGAAAGAATGCAAAATATGTCCTAACGGCAGAGACGATGATCGCATCAGCGTAGGAATAGTTTACCTAATCTCTTGCAAAGCGTGCAGCGGTAAATATAAGGGGAGACAGGTAGGCTGCTCTTTGCCCGTATAGAAGAACATTTAGCTGACAGGTGTCTCATTGAAGGAAATAATTCGCTACAGACACATAGAGCACAGAAGCACGATAAGGTAGACTATGACATACAGGTCGCCATCCTTGCGCAGTAACATAAAATGTCGGCGCGAAAGATTCCAGGAGCACTTGGGATAAACACCATCAATCCAATTTGATAGGTGAGGTTATTACGAGTCTATGTTATCTCTTCACGGTGATCTCCACTT